ACGGCTTATAAAGGCTGCAGATCTTGGTGTCTTGATATCCCCTCTGATTGGTCACTATTTCCTTGGACTGTTTACTATAGTAACTCCTGGGCTCAAAGGTCCAACCTCACACGGGACACGGGACAGGTGAGGTACTCCCCCACTCCTTCCTTATTGTTTCCCTATTCCCTGTGGGCTTTCTTCTTCTCCTTCTGGATGAAGGGCTTCCTTCCCTTTATTTTGTAAATATAGACCTTTTGCTGTTCCCAGTGCCCTCACTCTATGGAAATGTACCTGTTGCATCTTTTCAGCTCCCCTACTCTATGGAAATATACCTCTGTTGCTCTGCAGCCCTGTGCTTCCTCAATGGTCCCCTTAATTTCCAAAATTTCTCAAATTTCCTAAAACCTGTCTTTTTCACCCTCAAAATTCCTGTTTCATAAGTAAGTTGTATGTTTGATAGACACTATTTTTTTCCTTATTGTCTGAGAACTTGTTCTTATACAATCAGCAACTACAAAATCTTTATGATACCAGAAGATAATGCTAGGGTAATAATCTAGTCATATAAATCTGTGCCATTTATCAATTATTGCCTCTTAGCCCCACATTTGCCCTTCACTATTTCTCTTTTGTAGTGAGCATGCGAAGCTTTCTCAGTAGAGGGCGCTAGAGGGGCAAGAGGGAGGAAGGACTATCTTGCTGTTTTGGCTGCTGCCTGGTGCGGGAATGGTGTGGGTGTGGGGAGTCTGAGGGAGTTCTGCCCCAAGCACAGGTTCCCCGGTAGGAGAGAACCTCCTCTCAGTCCTGCAGACTAGAAACCCACACCCTGATGGATTCCTGTTCGCATCAGTGCCCCAAAGGCATCTGCCAACACCTGTTCGCTAAGCAAAGATCACCTGCAACTCCCAGGGTTTCCACTGAGCAGTCACCTTCTGCAGGCCCCCACTACCTGTGCAGATCCCCGCGGTTGGCTGCTGAACGCACCGCTTGCACTCTGGGGGGTTGCTTTCTGCTTGCCCAGGGCCTGAGACCAGCGCTGGCCTGGGCAAATCAAGGAACATCTGTTGTCAGTGGGCTGAGTCCTTGGGAAGGTCTAAACTCAGTCTTGGCAGCGGCCCCTTTCCAAGTCTTTCCTTGGGCAATCTCCTTGGGATGCAGGGTGTCATATCAAAT